GGCGCCTGTGGTTGCAGGTGCCGGTGACGTTTGACGACGTGTCCGTGTATTTCAACGACAAGGAGTGGGAGAAGCTGGAGGAGTGGCAGAAGGAGCTCTACAAGAATGTGATGAAGGGGAACTACGAGTCCTTGATCTCCCTGGGTAAACAGGGCCTTTCCTCCCGCCGGGCCAAGGGCTTTGCGGGAGGACCCGGCTCAGCGGGGCCCTGGGCATCCTCCAGCTCCTGCTGCGGGGACAGAGCTTGGTCCCTGCTGTCCCATTTTAAGTGGGCGCTTCACAAGGCAGAAGGAGGTTTCTTGTCCTTCTCCGCTGCTTCCTGGACTCAGACGAGGGCAGGCTGGGAGTCCAACCTCTGGACCCCTTTGGAGAAACCTTCCATAGGGCCCCACGGGCCGGAGCAGCGCGGTGAGGCCCCCGTGGCCCCGCCGCCCGGCGCGGTGCGTGCTGAACTGCAGCAGAAATCCCAGCGGTGCCGGGCGAAGCGCCCGGGTTCGCTCGGGAGCGCCGGGGAGCCCTGGAGGAGCTGGGAGGCGGATCCAGCCCTCCCGGCGCAGTAACGTCTCCGTCTCTCTGCAGACTATGCAATTTCCAAACCTGGCGTTTTGTCCCAGATTGAGCAAGGAGAGGAATTGCAGGTCGGGAACGAGCAGGACTTGGAGGAGAGGGAGATCATAACGGACGCCACGTGGGAGAACAGGGACAGGGAGCTGGGATGGGAGAACAGGGACAGGGAGCTGGGATGGGAGAACAGGGACAGGGAGCTGGGATGGGAGAACAGGGACAGGGAGCTGGGATGGGAGAACAGGGACAGGGAGCTGGGATGGGAGAACAGGGACAGGGAGCTGGGATGGGAGAACAGGGACAGGGAGCTGGGATGGGAGAACAGGGACAGGGAGCTGGGATGGGAGAACAGGGACAGGGAGCTGGGATGGGAGAACAGGGACAGGGAGCTGGGATGGGAGAACAGGGACAGGGAGCTGGGATGGGAGAACAGGGACAGGGAGCTGGGATGGGAGAACAGGGACAGGGAGCTGGGATGGGAGAACAGGGACAGGGAGCTGGGATGGGAGAACAGGGACAGGGAGCTGGGATGGGAGAACAGGGACAGGGAGCTGGGATGGGAGAACAGGGACAGGGAGCTGGGATGGGAGAACAGGGACAGGGAGCTGGGATGGGAGAACAGGGACAGGGAGCTGGGATGGGAGAACAGGGACAGGGAGCTGGGATGGGAGAACAGGGACAGGGAGCTGGGATGGGAGAACAGGGACAGGGAGCTGGGATGGGAGAACAGGGACAGGGAGCTGGGATGGGAGAACAGGGACAGGGAGCTGGGATGGGAGAACAGGGACAGGGAGCTGGGATGGGAGAACAGGGACAGGGAGCTGGGATGGGAGAACAGGGACAGGGAGCTGGGATGGGAGAACAGGGACAGGGAGCTGGGATGGGAGAACAGGGACAGGGAGCTGGGATGGGAGAACAGGGACAGGGAGCTGGGATGGGAGAACAGGGACAGGGAGCTGGGATGGGAGAACAGGGACAGGGAGCTGGGATGGGAGAACAGGGACAGGGAGCTGGGATGGGAGAACAGGGACAGGGAGCTGGGATGGGAGAACAGGGACAGGGAGCTGGGATGGGAGAACAGGGACAGGGAGCTGGGATGGGAGAACAGGGACAGGGAGCTGGGATGGGAGAACAGGGACAGGGAGCTGGGATGGGAGAACAGGGACAGGGAGCTGGGATGGGAGAACAGGGACAGGGAGCTGGGATGGGAGAACAGGGACAGGGAGCTGGGATGGGAGAACAGGGACAGGGAGCTGGGATGGGAGAACAGGGACAGGGAGCTGGGATGGGAGAACAGGGACAGGGAGCTGGGATGGGAGAACAGGGACAGGGAGCTGGGATGGGAGAACAGGGACAGGGAGCTGGGATGGGAGAACAGGGACAGGGAGCTGGGATGGGAGAACAGGGACAGGGAGCTGGGATGGGAGAACAGGGACAGGGAGCTGGGATGGGAGAACAGGGACAGGGAGCTGGGATGGGAGAACAGGGACAGGGAGCTGGGATGGGAGAACAGGGACAGGGAGCTGGGATGGGAGAACAGGGACAGGGAGCTGGGATGGGAGAACAGGGACAGGGAGCTGGGATGGGAGAACAGGGACAGGGAGCTGGGATGGGAGAACAGGGACAGGGAGCTGGGATGGGAGAACAGGGACAGGGAGCTGGGATGGGAGAACAGGGACAGGGAGCTGGGATGGGAGAACAGGGACAGGGAGCTGGGATGGGAGAACAGGGACAGGGAGCTGGGATGGGAGAACAGGGACAGGGAGCTGGGATGGGAGAACAGGGACAGGGAGCTGGGATGGGAGAACAGGGACAGGGAGCTGGGATGGGAGAACAGGGACAGGGAGCTGGGATGGGAGAACAGGGACAGGGAGCTGGGATGGGAGAACAGGGACAGGGAGCTGGGATGGGAGAACAGGGACAGGGAGCTGGGATGGGAGAACAGGGACAGGGAGCTGGGATGGGAGAACAGGGACAGGGAGCTGGGATGGGAGAACAGGGACAGGGAGCTGGGATGGGAGAACAGGGACAGGGAGCTGGGATGGGAGAACAGGGACAGGGAGCTGGGATGGGAGAACAGGGACAGGGAGCTGGGATGGGAGAACAGGGACAGGGAGCTGGGATGGGAGAACAGGGACAGGGAGCTGGGATGGGAGAACAGGGACAGGGAGCTGGGATGGGAGAACAGGGACAGGGAGCTGGGATGGGAGAACAGGGACAGGGAGCTGGGATGGGAGAACAGGGACAGGGAGCTGGGATGGGAGAACAGGGACAGGGAGCTGGGATGGGAGAACAGGGACAGGGAGCTGGGATGGGAGAACAGGGACAGGGAGCTGGGATGGGAGAACAGGGACAGGGAGCTGGGATGGGAGAACAGGGACAGGGAGCTGGGATGGGAGAACAGGGACAGGGAGCTGGGATGGGAGAACAGGGACAGGGAGCTGGGATGGGAGAACAGGGACAGGGAGCTGGGATGGGAGAACAGGGACAGGGAGCTGGGATGGGAGAACAGGGACAGGGAGCTGGGATGGGAGAACAGGGACAGGGAGCTGGGATGGGAGAACAGGGACAGGGAGCTGGGATGGGAGAACAGGGACAGGGAGCTGGGATGGGAGAACAGGGACAGGGAGCTGGGATGGGAGAACAGGGACAGGGAGCTGGGATGGGAGAACAGGGACAGGGAGCTGGGATGGGAGAACAGGGACAGGGAGCTGGGATGGGAGAACAGGGACAGGGAGCTGGGATGGGAGAACAGGGACAGGGAGCTGGGATGGGAGAACAGGGACAGGGAGCTGGGATGGGAGAACAGGGACAGGGAGCTGGGATGGGAGAACAGGGACAGGGAGCTGGGATGGGAGAACAGGGACAGGGAGCTGGGATGGGAGAACAGGGACAGGGAGCTGGGATGGGAGAACAGGGACAGGGAGCTGGGATGGGAGAACAGGGACAGGGAGCTGGGATGGGAGAACAGGGACAGGGAGCTGGGATGGGAGAACAGGGACAGGGAGCTGGGATGGGAGAACAGGGACAGGGAGCTGGGATGGGAGAACAGGGACAGGGAGCTGGGATGGGAGAACAGGGACAGGGAGCTGGGATGGGAGAACAGGGACAGGGAGCTGGGATGGGAGAACAGGGACAGGGAGCTGGGATGGGAGAACAGGGACAGGGAGCTGGGATGGGAGAACAGGGACAGGGAGCTGGGATGGGAGAACAGGGACAGGGAGCTGGGATGGGAGAACAGGGACAGGGAGCTGGGATGGGAGAACAGGGACAGGGAGCTGGGATGGGAGAACAGGGACAGGGAGCTGGGATGGGAGAACAGGGACAGGGAGCTGGGATGGGAGAACAGGGACAGGGAGCTGGGATGGGAGAACAGGGACAGGGAGCTGGGATGGGAGAACAGGGACAGGGAGCTGGGATGGGAGAACAGGGACAGGGAGCTGGGATGGGAGAACAGGGACAGGGAGCTGGGATGGGAGAACAGGGACAGGGAGCTGGGATGGGAGAACAGGGACAGGGAGCTGGGATGGGAGAACAGGGACAGGGAGCTGGGATGGGAGAACAGGGACAGGGAGCTGGGATGGGAGAACAGGGACAGGGAGCTGGGATGGGAGAACAGGGACAGGGAGCTGGGATGGGAGAACAGGGACAGGGAGCTGGGATGGGAGAACAGGGACAGGGAGCTGGGATGGGAGAACAGGGACAGGGAGCTGGGATGGGAGAACAGGGACAGGGAGCTGGGATGGGAGAACAGGGACAGGGAGCTGGGATGGGAGAACAGGGACAGGGAGCTGGGATGGGAGAACAGGGACAGGGAGCTGGGATGGGAGAACAGGGACAGGGAGCTGGGATGGGAGAACAGGGACAGGGAGCTGGGATGGGAGAACAGGGACAGGGAGCTGGGATGGGAGAACAGGGACAGGGAGCTGGGATGGGAGAACAGGGACAGGGAGCTGGGATGGGAGAACAGGGACAGGGAGCTGGGATGGGAGAACAGGGACAGGGAGCTGGGATGGGAGAACAGGGACAGGGAGCTGGGATGGGAGAACAGGGACAGGGAGCTGGGATGGGAGAACAGGGACAGGGAGCTGGGATGGGAGAACAGGGACAGGGAGCTGGGATGGGAGAACAGGGACAGGGAGCTGGGATGGGAGAACAGGGACAGGGAGCTGGGATGGGAGAACAGGGCTAGGGAGCTGGGATGGGAGAGCAGGGATAGGGAGCTGGGACGGGGAGTGGGGATGGGAGAGCAGGGACAGGGAGCAGGGAGCTGGGATGGGAGAACAGGGATAGGGGGCTGGGACAGGGAGTGGGGATGGGAGAGCAAGGACAGGGAGCTGGGATGGGGAGCAGGGTGCAGGAAGGGAGAGCAGGGATGGGAGAGGAGAGGGAGAGTGAAGAAGGGAGCAGGGACAGCGGAGACGGGAAGCAAGAGAAGAGGGAGGAGGGAATGGGGAGCAGGGACGGGGGATGAGGATACAGGGATTGGGGATGGCAACAGGGATGGGTAATGAGGATACAGGGATGGGGGATGAGGATAGAGGGATTGGGGATGGGGGATGAGGATACAGGGATTGGGGATGGCGACAGGGATGGGCAATGAGGATGTGGGAAGGAGGGATGGGGACAAGAACAAAGAAAGGCTGGAACCAGGGAGCGCCCAGCCTCGCCACCATCCTGGGCCCATCCCAGGATAGCACATCCCGGACATGGAGCGGCGCATCCCGGACATGGAGCGGCGCATCCCGGACACGGAGCGGCGCATCCCGGACATCCCGGACATGGAGCGGCGCATCCTGGATATGGAGCAGTGCATGCTGCGCATACCGGACCTCCCGGACATGGAGCGGCGCATCCTGGATATGGAGCCGGACATGGCGGACATGGAGCGGCGCATCCCGGACATCCCGGACACGGAGCGGCGCATCCTGGATATGGAGCGGCGCATCCTGGATATGGAGCGGCGCATCCTGGACATGAAGCAGTGCATCCCGGACATCCCGGACACGGAGTGGTGCATCCCGGACATGGAGTGACACATCCTGGACATGGAGCGGCACATCCCGGACAGGGAGCAGCGCATCCTG